TTTTCCCTCTCTTTCTCTTCTCTTTTTTTTTTTCCCCCTTCCCACTCGATGCATGCACATGCAACGTGCATTTTTTTACTGGAGAAGAAGTCTTTTGTGGGCCATACGGCTAAAAGAACTGACGGGACGCGAAACATTTTATGCACCTCGATCTCCATGTTTCCGCTAGCTTTGCATGCCCGCAATACTCGTAAATTAATCTACCTACAACTCGTCTCCACAACTGCAAGTACACACGCGCGCACACACACACGCACACACACTCACACAGTTCGATACCATAATTGCATGATTGAGGACTATGGAGAAGAAGAAGGGGGAAAAGAAAATAAGATAAAACGGCTCCAAGCCACTTTGGGTACGGGTAACCCAACATCCGTAGAACAAGGGAGAGGGGTGTGTGCCTCTCCCTCTCTCTCTCTCTCTCTCTCTGTGTGTGTGTGTGTGTGTGTCTCTCTCTCTCTCTCTCTCTGTGTGTGTGTGTGTGTGTGTCTCTCTCTCTCTCTCTCTCTATGTGTGTGTGTGTGTGTGTGTTTCGAACCAAAGACGGCGGATGAAGAGAGAGAGGGAAAAGAAGGCGGCACGACAAGCATCAATCTCTCTCTCTCTCCCCCTCTCTCCCTCTCTCTCCTACTCTCTAATAGCCAGACTGATACCTATCGTATACAGAGTAACGGATACGAGTATTTGTGAGGGAGAGAATTTGGAGTCGAAAAGATGAAAGAAGAAAGAAAACAGTCTGGATTCCAACCCTGCAGCTGGAGACGGAGGGGGTAGGGGTAGGGGTAGGGGCAGGGGAGGGGGGGGGTTAGGAAGACCCCTGTTCGAACTTTTTCCCACCCTTGCCATTTGCCATCTTGCAAGATATGTATATATGTATATATGTAATCTGTAATCTGTATACTCGTACGAGTACATCATGTATTATACGATGTGATGTTCTCTCTCTCTCTCTTTTTTTTTTTTTTTTTTTTTTTTTTTTTCACTCTCTTTATCGCTTGACGATTCTCGTAAGTTTTGCCCGTGTACTATGAGAGACATTTGGAGCATTTTGCTCTGCATAGAGAGAGAGCGAGTGAGAAGAGAGTGAGAAGAGGGTGAGAGGGTGAGAGGGTGAGGATAAAGGAAAGAGGAGATTGGCCGACTTATTCAACTAGTAGAACTTGACCTTTCCTCCTACACTTGATCCTTTCTCTCTCTGGTATTGCTGTAATACTATAATATCTCTCTTCAAAAACACGCACACACACACAGAGAGAGAGAGAGAGAGAGAGACAGAGAGAGACAGAGAGAGACAGAGAGAGCGACAGAGAGACAGAGATACACACACATCACATCACCCACCCCTCACCTCACCTCACCCACCCCCCCACTCCCCGCCTCCTCGCCGCATTAACTATATATATATATGTGTGTGTGTATGTGTGTGTATGTGTGTGTATGTGTGTGTATGTGTATGTGTGTGTGTGTGTGTGTGTGTGTGTGTGTGTGCATCACGAGCCGTAGACGTGGCGGATGCCATAGGCAGTTGGAGTTGTGTGTCGTGAGTTTCCCTCTGTCCATCGACGGCCTATCACGTCTTCATGTCCCCTCTGTTTGTTGGTCATGGCGAACCATTCAAACAGCCAAACCGCATCCAGTTCGTCGCATTCGATATACGCACATTCGACAGCAGCAAACTTGGCATCACCACACCAGAATGATCCTCTCTTTACCTTTTTTGTTTTTTGTTTTTTTTGTTTTTTTTTTTGTTTTTTGTTTTTTTTGTAACAATGTATCATGTATAATCGTCTTTTACTCTGCTGCTGATCTTCTTCCTTCTTCGTCTTCTTCGTCTTCTTCGTCTTCTTCTTCTTCTTCTTCTTCTTCTTCTTCTTCTTCTTCTTCCTTCCTCGTCTTAGTCTTCTTCTTCTTCTCCTACTCCTTATTTCCATTGTTACCATTCGACATTCGGCCTCTTCCTCCCCACCCACTACGTACAACATACACCCACCCACCCCCCCCCTCTCTCTCTCCACACCCCTGTCTCTCTCTCTCTCTCTCTCCACACCCCTGTCTCTCTCTCTCTCTCTTTTCTTTTCTTGTGTGTGTGTGACTTTTGTAAGGCTCTCCATCCGTCGTCTTGAGCTGCCCTGTATAATTCTGCTACTTAAATACTGTCTCTCCCGAGAGTTCAGAGTACATGGATGTACAGGTGGCGGCTTCTTTTCCTTCTTCACACCCCGGTCATTCGTGTGGCTTTACAACCACCCCCAAGCTCCTCTCTCTCTCTCTCTTCTTCCTCTCTTGTCAGTCTTGCCAGTCTTGCCTCGTTGCTCGACAGCAATAACACACATCAACCTTGTTCGCGGCAGGGCTGCCAGGTTGGTGCTTGTCTCCTTTGCAATCTTCCCCCCCTCTCCCCCCCCTCACTCCGTCGTGCATGTGCAACTCTCCATCCTCCTCTTCTTCCTTCTTCATCGACTCTTTCATTCCTCATGCCTCTGAACCCTCACCAAAACACTTGAAGGAAGGGAGAGAGAGAGAGAGAGAGAGAGAGAGATGGAAGAGAGGCAGCCCAACTTCACTCGTGGACGCCTCTTTCCCTTCCCTTCCCTTTCCTTCCTTTTACTTCCTTCCTCTAGATCACACACACGACACACCCCCCCCCGGTCGCCCCTCCTTCTCCTTCATTGTCCACCCTCTTTCGTATATTACATCTTCCTTTAATTTTTTTTTCTTATTCTTGGGCCTCCTCCTTGGGTCCCATGGGGTCAAAGTGTTTTGGCTCATCTCCGCTATTATTCTTTTTCTGTACTTATATACACACACACACACACATATATATATATATATATGTATATGTATTATAGATAATCTTTTTTAAACGGGGGAGGGGAGGGGGGGGGGGAGGGGGGGTTGGGTTTTTCCTCCGAGAAAGATTAAAAAAAATAAAAAATAACCATTCCCGTATACGACGCCACCATCTCGACGTTCCTAATCTACCGATTGCCGACCCTAGCTCTCGTCGCATCCCCCATCGTACTATCATTACAACTAATACGGAGTAAGGAGACTATAGTGGTAATAAATAGTGCCTCAATCTGTCTGCTGCTATTGTGCTACCGCTTACTTCCCCCTCTCTCTACGAGTTCTCTGTGCGCGCGCCGTGCCTGTGCATACTTGCAGTACATTACAATACACGCATTCGCATGACGAGCCCAGTCCCTCTCTCTCTCTCTTTCATCTCTCTCTCTCATCTCTCTCTCTCTCTCTCTCTCTCTCTCTTCAGCTTCAGCTTCAGCTTCAGTCCTTCTCATAACAATCTCAGCCATAAACGTGCACCCACACACATATATATACACACCCGCACACTCGTAGAGAAAGAGAGAGAGAGAGACGGACGGATAGATACAGATACACGCCCCCCCCCCCGGTCCCCAGTACCAGTCGGCTACCGCCCCCATCCTTTCCCTTCCTGCACAGCTGACACTGGCTGCCGCAATTGGTCCCGCTCAACCTTGCCCCCCTCAAGGGTGACAATACCGCAGCGTGTGCGTACCTCCTCTGCTTGCTCTGCCGTCCTCTTCTGCTTACTACTTGGGCTTGATAAGTCATCATCTGGTACCCTGGTGGGTGTGTCCTGGTCTCGTTCTCTCTACGGAGGGTTTTATCCTCTTCAGTCTATTTCATTTCATTATTCTGCCTGCGGAGCTCTGAGGCGGAACTGTCCTGGTTGGTAGCCGTGGTTGTCAGTCATCCGTATTTCTTCCATCTCTCCTTCCTCTTTCACTGCCTCTCTTTTTCTTCTCCTTCCCTCTCTTTTCCTTTCCTCTCCTCTCCTCTCCTTTTGCTTTCTTTCTCTCTCCTCTCTTCTCTTCTCTTCTCTCTTTTCTTTTTTCTTTTCTTCTTTTTTTTNGGGGGGGGACACCGGCGGGGCTCGGACGGGTTTTTGATCCAAGGGTGGTAGAGAGACTTGACTTGAGCCGGGTATCCACCCCTGATCCCTGCTTGCCTACCGTCCGTCCCTCCATCCTAACCCATACCGAGACAAGCCTCTTTGAGCTTTTTGCGTTGATTTACGACGTATTACGACTCCCGTACTGAGCGCCCGTCGCCCACTTATTTTCTTTCGCCCTCTGATGGGTCCTCAACCTCTCGGCACCCCGGTCTCCACCGTCGTCACCGGTACATGTCTGCCATGCGTGATAGGCCTGCCTGGTCTAGATGCGTGGGCCAACCCATGGGACCTTTTAGAACGGGCTCCTGTACTTGTATTATTCGTCCGTACCACTACTCTCTCTCTCTCTCTGCCTCTCTCTCTGCCTCTCTCTCTCTTTTTTTTTTCGTTTTTCTTTTTTCCTTGGCAGTGCCTTGCTGTACGAGAGTACTGCTTGTACCTGCAAATGAGAGAGAAAGAGGAGGACCAGACATGGATGAGCCGTCTGGAGGAGGACTACGAGCATGAATGATGCGACTAATACCCTACAAGCTGCACAGAAATGGAGGTGGGGTTCCTTGTTATTAGTCTGCAGACGCAGTACGGAGGAGTAATAATCGTTCTCAGTTCTTGCTCCAGCCTTGAGTTGCCTTTTTGCTAATATTACTCTACACACATGCACACACAATCTCTCTCCCTCTCCCTTCTCCCTCCCTCCCTCCCTCTCTCTCTATATCTGTAGAGACCAACGACTTTCTGCACGTGAGTTAGCCGTCTAACATTCGGAATATCAGTGGGTCATCTGTAGAGTTCCAGGATGGGCGCGTCAATGCTCAACTAAGGTTCCTTATTGTCTCCTCCTCCTTGCTTCTTGAGTTTCTAAGCAAGCGCATTCCTCTCTCTCTCTCTCTCTATCTGCATCCAAGTTACCCCCCTTCTGTCTTGTCCCGTACGACCGGTCAGATACCTACGACTCTTGTGTATTACTCGTACTCGTGCGAGTCGAGTACAGGTCAAGAGTACACAGCTCTCAACCACCGATACTCGGTGTCAAGTACTCTTCTCACCTCTCTTAAACGTCGTGATCTCGGCAGAGAGAAAGAACAAGGAAAGAGCCGTTGGATGATTGGCGGCGCTCTGCACCAAATCTCCTTCTACTTCTCCTTCTCTCTTGCGACTTCGGATATACCGCTGTCCGTGCAGCTCGAAATCTCACTTCCTTTCCTTTCACCAACCCAAGCCCCTTGCTCACACACACACACACACTTTCTGGACTCCTCTCTCCGTCTCTCCCATTCGCCTCGCGCCCTTTCTTCCAGGAAGTGATAGGCGCATGTACGGAATCTTTCTCTCTCTCTCTCTCTCTCTCTCTCTGTTGATTACTCCGTACATATCTCGACCGACAACAGCAAGGCGCGCGCAGTAAGAAGCTCAACCGTCTGTCAGCCCTTTTATTTTTACTTTTTTTTTTAATTTTCTCGATTTTTTGCCTTTCGCCTCTCTCTCCCTCCGAACTCGACCGATAAAGGAGTCTCCTCTCCGTTCCTGCGTGTATAAGTCTTTCTACTCGTACATCTTATGAGTAAAGCCGTTGGGTAGTATTCGGAAGACTAGAGTCAGGACAATCAACCCTCCTCCTCCTTCCCTCCTACCACACCCCCTCGGCATTTCAATAAGAAAAAATAAAGGTTTTACAAGAAAAATCTCCAGGAGGGCCATCAAAGACAAGTCCTGATCTCGTCAACGGGCCCCTCCCCCCCTCCTTGACTCGGGGTAGCAGCAGCAGCAAGCAGCAAGCTGTAAAAGTTGCGGGTACAGGATAAAAGTATCACTACCAAGTAATATTACAACGTACTCGAGTACATCAAGAGGTGGCAGGGGAGAAGAACGAACGAGAAGGACGAACTCTCATCCCACACGCATCGTACACACCCTCTCCCACCCACATATACATACATTACATACACACGCACACACACACCCCTCCAACACACCCCCTCTCTCTCTCTCTCTCTCTCATATCTATATTCACGCCCTGCAGCTACCCATGCCACCACTCCATCCTCGGGCCGTTCTCATCAGATACCCATCTAGTTGCGCGGAAGACAGGCTCGGTGGCGGATCCTCCTGTCCTGCGGCCGAGGTCTCCGTCCCTCGTCGCTTTCTTTGGAGCTGAACAAGGTCTCCTCTCGACCCTCCCACCTCCCCTCCCACCATCACTCTCTCTTCTCTCGATCTCCCCGTTGTGGAGGGGGAAATCCGGCCACGACGAGCGACAGTAGAGACGGCATAATACCATCAGAACATCCGTTCTACCTACGAGTCATCTGAAACGCCATGTTTCAGCAACGGTACGTCGCACCGAACACATGCTTCTGCAGCCTCTCGCCCCCGACTTCTGTCGTCGATGGGCGCACGCACTGCCCATGCTCCCACTCCTCTCTCTCGGATTTCAAGGCCGACGACTCGGGAAAAAAGGAGAAGAAGAAGAAGAGAAACCCCCTCCCCCCCCCAAAGCTGCGGACTCGATCCCCAACCTCCTCTCCTGAGGATCTCGAGAATCTCTGGCGAAGCTGACAATGTTTAGAAAAAGCTCCCAGAAACCGGCGGATGGCTTGGTGGCAACCTTTCGCCAACAGTTCCCAGAAGTTTCCTCCACCCTCGAGGATCCTACAGAGACCATCCCGGCTTCCGTCCATCCTATCGACAATGCTGGCATTGCCGCACCACTCGCCCACAGGTAAGAGAGAGAGAGACAGAGATATGAGACAGAGAGAGAGAGAGAGAGAGATATGAGACAGAGAGAGAGAGAGAGGGAGGGGTGGGGAGAGATGAGAGGGAAAGGATAAGGAGAGACACTGGCCTTCTCATCCCTCTCATCCGTCTGATAAGACAGCCTCGGAGGAGAAGACTACGTCGGCTGACACCCTCGACAGCGGCGCACATCCACATCCACATATGGGCTTGGGAGGCGGCTTTCACGATCATGACCCGACGCCTCGAGCCTCGAACGAGCCATGGAGATTCACACCGTCGATGATGGACCCCAACGTCTTCAACATTGAAAACTTTGTCACCACCCCGACCGGATACTACACAGCCACACCAGGAGGTACCAAGACAGACCGCTCCCCTTCCATGCTCCCCTACCTAGTGGCTTACACACTCTAGCCGGCCTAGCAGCAGCGGCGCCAGCAGTACCAGGTCTGGGAACGACCATGACCATGCCCAACTCGGTCACGGCCATGCACGCCGGCCCCGGCATCATCGACATCGGAGGCTTCCACCCGCTCACCTCACACCAGATGGCCCACTTCGGCGGTCCGTTTGGCCATCACCCGCAACAGCAGCAGCAGCAGCAGCAGCAGCAGCAGCAGCAGCAGCCTCCTCCTCCTCCTCCGCCGCCACCGTCACATCAGCAGCACCAGCACCAGCACCAGCACCAGCACCAGCACCAGCAGCCGCACCCGTTCGTTCCCTCTTCGTACGGCCATCACGATACAGGTTACGAGACGATGGAGCAGGATGACTCGCCGCTCAACTCGAACCCGGACGAGCACGCGGCCTCGATGAACCCGGCCTTTCAGACGGCGACGCCCATCATGGCCTACCCACCGAACCAGATGCACCCGACGGCGGCGACGGCGACGGCGACGACCCGCATGACCCAGCCGCTTCACCAGCCCACCGGCCGATTCCGCTTCCACTCGACGCTCAACGCCCCGACGGCCATGATCAGGCAAGCAGACGAGATACCCATCACCTACCTCAACAAGGGCCAGGCCTACTCGCTCTCCATCATCGACACGCGCTCCCTGGGCTCTAAGGTTCCAGGGTCCAGGTTCAGGACCTTTGTGCGCGTCTCGTTCGAGGACGAGGAGCAGAGGCAGAAGTCCGGCGTCTGTTGGGGTCTGTGGAAGGAAGGGAGGGGCGCCAACGAGGCTCACCAGCGGGGCGGGAAGCTGCAGGCTGTCGAGTACGTCGAGGCCGGCCAGCCGATCGAGGGTGACGAGACGCGGACGCGCGTCGAGGTGGAGACGGCCTCGTTTGACGGATTCTCCGTCGTCTGGACGCCCGGAGCCCACGGCGCACCCGAGGTCAACATCGCCGTCCGCTTCAACTTCCTCTCGACCGACTTCAGCCACTCCAAGGGCGTCAAGGGCATCCCCGTCAGGCTGTGCGCCAAGACGAGCCTCCTCCCGATCGATGCGACGCCCGCCGCCGATGCCGTCTCTTCGGCAGACGCGCAGGAGCCGGAAGTGTGCTACTGCAAGGTGAAGCTGTTTCGGGACCACGGAGCCGAGAGGAAGCTGTCCAACGACGTGGCGCACGTCAAGAAGTCCATCGACAAGGTCAAGAACCAGATCGCCCAGGCCGAGAGCGGCTTGAAGGACTCGGGCAAGAGGCGGAAGGCTGCGGGCGGCATAACAAAGGTCGGAGCGGACTCGCAGCGGAGTGCGGGCTTGCCGAAGCACAAGCGGGGGTGGTCCGTATCGTCGGCCAGCTCGGGTGAAGGAGACGGGATGAGGTCGGGAGGAGGGGGGGGAGGAGGAGGAGGAGGAGGATCGGGAGGATCAGGCAGCGGAATCGGGGGTCGAGCGTCTCTGGCAGACGACCTTCACGTGAAGCTGCAGAACCTCCAGGACATGTTCACGAGCACGAGGCCGGTCAGCGTCCTGTACCTGCGAGGCGAAGATCACGACGACCCGGACGCGCACCCCGTCAGTCTGCCCGGGGACGCAGGCGAGGTCAAGACGGGAGATGAGGCCTCCTCCTCGTCGTCCTGGCAGGTCAGGAGCCTCCAGAGCTCCAACACGGCGTCGATCGTGTCGTCTTCGCCGAGCTCGGTATCGTACGCCTCGCACGCGTCGGCCCCCGGCGCCGTCGCCCTGCACTACCCGAGCCAGGACGTGACGATGGCGGTCGGGCCCGGAGGGGTCGAGAGGCCCGGCGATGCGACGATGCCGCAGCCGGAGAGGGTGCGGAGGGTCGGAGACGGTTGGATAGACGCCCTCGGCATCGACAAGTCGTACCGGCCACCCAGCGACCCGCCCGTACCCAAGGCCGTAGCTTGCTTCTACGTCGTGCGACGGGACGGGAACTCTGACGGCACCAGCGAGACGGATTCGATAAGGACGGCCATACCGAAGCAGCAGCAGCAGCAGCAGGAATTCTACTGGGCCGTGTACCTCGCCCGACGGACGCGAGACGAGCTTGTCAGCCGACTGGCCAGGAAGTTTGGACTGGATCCCTCGACGGTCCAGCAGATCGTGCACGTGTCCCGCGAAGGTCTAGAGGTCGAGGTGGACGACGATGTGGTCGAGCATCTGGCCGAAGGTCAAGACATGGCTCTCGAAGTGCGCACCGTGACGGACCAGCAGTTTATAAAGGGGGAGTGGGACACCATGGCCATGGCACTCGACGAGCAAGGTTCGCCTACGACGACGACGACGACGACGACCACTGCTACTGCTACTTCTGCTGCTACCACTACGACGATGACGATGACGGGGAAGCGAAAGATTATTCTGCGAATAATCTTTTGACGAATACGACAATATATATATATATATATATATCTTTTTTCTTCTCTCTCATCTTTTTTTTCCACCCTCTATCTCCCTCTCCCTCCCCAACACACACACATTCTTCTTCTTCTTATGACGATACACGAGCTCTCTTCTTCTTCTTTTCACTTGATCCATGCCTTTTTATGTGAAGCGATCCACTGGGATATCACCACAGCAGCTATTATTATTGTCAAAATCATCTTGTTTCTGTACAGTTTTTCTTATTTTCTTTTGCTTTTTGCTTTTTTCTTTCTTTCGTTCTTGATACCAGAGTCCTCTTTGTGGTTTTTTCTATCCAAAACCCCTTGCTTTCAATCATCACTATTCAGTCAGGGTCCTGCCAGGGAAATGGAAAAAAAAAAGCCGAGTATTTTCTTTTGGGATGGGGGGAGAGGCTAAAGCGGTCATGGCGTGTTTTTTTTTTTGTCCTTTTTCATTTTGAATTTTCTTCTTATTTTCGGGCAGAGAGGAAATATATACAATCGGGGAAGCCTCATTTGCTCCTCTCATT